AGTTGATGGTTTGTTCAACTCAAAGATTCCAACCGAGATGATTTATTCCGGTTGAAGGAGTTGATGGTTTGTTCGACTCAGAGATTCCAACCGAGATGAGTTACTCCGGTTGAAGGAGTTGATGGTTTGTTCAACTCAGAGATTTCAACCGAGATGATTTACTTCGGTTGGAAGAGTTGGTGACTTGTTCAACTTAGGATTCCCAACCGAGATGATTTACTCCGGTTGGAAGAGTTGGTGACTTGTTCAACTTAGGATTCCCAACCGAGATGATTTACTCCGGTTGGAAGAGTTGACGACTTGTTCAACTTAGGATTCCCAACCGAGATGTCTATTCCGGTTGAAGAAGTTGATGTTTTGTTCAGTTCAGGCATGCTCAACCATGATGGTTTAGTCCGGTTGAAAGAATTAGTGATTTGTTCAACTTTGTTGTTCCCACCGAGATGTTTATTCCGGTTGAAGAAGTTACTCAATTTTGCTAAATTTACCGAGATGTTAACTCCGGTCAAGCTAGTTGGTGATTTGTGCAACTTAGTGATTTAAACCGAGATGTTTTGCTGAAGATAGAGTTCGAGAAAACCTTGCAAATACTTGATGAAATTAAAGCTTTTCATTGATAGAAAGTTAATACAAAAGGAGGGGTAGAGAGCCCGGTTACATGTGCAAAGCAAAAAAAGCAATAGAAAAAAAAAAAAAAAACTAAGCTAAGGGGGAGAGATTGGTGAATTCATCATCCAGAGTTGTCTCCAAGTTCACTGCTGGAGATCGGTCTTTAACACCGGGCTCAGTTCGGCCGGGTTGCTCCTGTTCTGGTTGCTCCTCTCCATCAGTATCTTTCCCGGCCTTTTCCTCTTCAAGCCCTTTCTCGGTCTCAGCTTGCAATGCACTGAAGACGTCATTGGCATATGGCACGAGGTAGGCCGGCAGGGAAGCAGGCGGCGGGGTGGCAAATACGTCAGTATCAGGACCCTGACCGAGATGCTCGCAGGTAGACTTCCAACCCGCTTTGAAGTAGATGTCTTGGGTAGCGAAGACCTGCTTCTTGTAGCTTTCCTCGGCTTCTAGGAAGCCGGCGTTGTTTGCATCTCGGCAGTCCTTCTTCCTTGACTTTTTCAGAGCGTCCAGCTCGGCCTGGAGCTCATCGCGCTTCTTCTCGGCCTCGTCAAGCTAACCGTGCAACCTGTTGTTGTCAGCATTAGCGATTTGGAGAGATGCTTTTGCCCGGCCAAGCTCTGCTTGGAGGCTCTGGACTTGGTTGGCTATGTCATTTGCCTTTTGCCGAGGTCTGTGGATGCGTTCCATTACCAGGTGCTGCTTTTGGATAGCCTGCAAGAAACGAATTTGATTAGTGAAGGAACCGGGAAAACACTTGTAAAATTTCAGTGGAAGTTGGATCCTTACCCTGGTCATGGATTTCACTGTTGATTTCACCAACTGGGTGTCAAGGACGTGATCGCTGCCAACCACGTCACTTGGCAGCAAGAGAGCTTTCGAGAGGTCAAAGGCCAACAAGTGCTCCTTATCGCCCTTGACAGAAGCATTTGCTGGGATATCTTGGCCCCGGTGCTTGAGCTGCGGCCGCCATGGTGGAATGGGATCAACAGTGTTGGTGGGTTGCTCGGTTGTTAGCTCGGCAACCAGCTCGACAGTTGGATCTGCGCGAGGTCTTTTGCCTGCCTGGCGGGGTTGGCTGGATTGCCCGGCAGCTGGAGATGCCAGGACAACCACAGGGCTGCTGGATTGACCAGCAGCATGAGACGGGGGAGAAATGCTTGGTACTTCGGCGAATGTGGCTGTGAGGAGATTCTTGATGCGGCTTCTTTTAGCCATCTCTTGTTCCTCGGTCAGCCGGATTAGCGGAACGTCTGGCAGATTTGGGTCTGGAGGAGGAGTTGGAGTGCGGAGAAAGTCTGTAACTTTACTCTGACGTGGAGTTGAGTATCTGTAGGTTGGAGTGTAACCGAGCAGCTCGTTGCAATCTCGGTGGCGATAGCGGAGCACGGCCCGAATTGCCTCTACGTTGGGAAATTGGTAGTTGGCTTGCAAGGCTTGGATTGTTGCAAAAGAAACAAGAAAACTGGTTAATTACAGAATAAAGGAGGTAGGCTGACCGAGCAAGTTTGAGCGGCTTACATGAGGAACCGAAGTTCTTGCTTATAAACCAGCCCGGTACGTCGGCTGTTTCGTAATTGCCCGACACCCAGAAAAAATCGTCGTCGTGCAAGTCTTTATCCGGGGTGCCGGTTACAATTTTCTCCTTGCCCGGTCTGATTTTCAAATAATAGGCTAGGTCGTCACCGGTGTGACCCATCGTGTATTGCCTTAATATCTCGGCTAAACCTAAGTTGGTGCCTAGCCGGTTGTTCAGTTCATGGACGTCGTTGATAATTCGGTAAGTGTTGGTGGACACTTGTGTGGGTGCCAGCCCGGTGCGGCGGAGGAACTCGGTGATAAGTGGGTTGAGTGGGAAGCGGAGGCCTCCTTCGATGATAGATAGCACGGTGAAGGGGCATTGTTCTGATCTGCCCCAAGGCGTTGTTTGCTCTTCTGCAAGCTCAAGGTGGACGTCGGCCGGGATGCCGTAATCCTCCCTGAACACGGCCAAGGCAGCCGGAGTATCTACGAAGAAGCGGAATTTCCCCATTTACGACCGGCTAAATTAGCTCGGCTGTGGTTTGGCACTGTCAGGTGATTTGTGGCTGCTCGGTCTTTGAGAGCCTCAGGAATGGTCTGTGGTCCCCTTGGACTCTGCAGGAAAAGGAAGGCAAGTGTAAGAGGGAGCGCGGTCGCGCAAAGCGAGCTTGACTTTAGCTCGGTCGTCTAGAGTACCAAACCACCTCGGTCGTAGAGGCTAACCAAGGAGCTCGGCCGCCCAAGCAGACCAGATTTTAGCCCGGTTGAGCGGCCAAGACCTTTGTTATCCCGGTTCTTGCTATGGTTAAGCCTAACAGTGGGAGGTTTGGGACGATTTCTGTGGCCTATGTCCTAAGAACTACGTTTTATTGCCCTATTGTGTGAAATATCAAGGAAAATAACAATAACAAGGGTTGGAGGGCTTACCAATTTGGAGCAGTGGCTGCTTCTTCTTCGAGCGCGAGTTCAGGAATGGCAGAGGAGAGGCAAGAGCTCTGGGTTGCTTGGAATGGCAATGAGTCAGTAAGAGCTCAAGGAAGATGAGAGGGAGGTGTTTCTAGAGGAGACAAGACCGCCCAAATTCAAATTATGGCAAGACGGCGGGTTGGCTGCTCGAGAGCCAATGGCAGCCCGCCACGTGTCCCCATTTATGACGACGTCAGAACTGAAGAGACAGGTTGAAGAGTTGAGTCAACCGGGCTACTTTTGAAGAAGAGGACGTCAACCGAGGAGTATAACCGGGCAAGTTTGCAAACAGGAATGTCAACTAGCCCGGTCGCCATTTCGCATTCTAAGGACTGAGGAAGTGTTATCCCGGTCGAAATAAGTAATCCCAGTCATGCTTTTGTGGATGGAATTAAGGAGCAATTGAGAGGGAGATTTATGATCTGAGATTGGGCCGTGACGTTAGCCGGACAGATTTGGGCCGAGGTATTGGGCTCCAAGATCAAGTTGTGATATTGCTTGGTAATGGCAAAGCCCACGTGGAACCGAGTTATCTGATCTCGGTTCCGCGAAGGCCGGACAGATGGAGGAACAGCCTAGATGAGGCTCCCCGGCTCACGCGTTGCAAGGTTGTAATGCACGCACCTTAACCCGGTAGGAAGGCCTGTGCTTGGAGCTTGGCCGAGAAGGTCTTTGGCTGGCCGGCGTCACCAATCTCCAGCTCAGCTTCGCCGGAATACAGTTGAGCACGGCTGGAATTAAGCCCGGTAGTAGGAAACTACGACATCAACTGCACTTGGGCATGTTCAGTATGGCCGTTGATGGCCGAGATAATGTTGCCCGGCTGCCGTGCTCCCAGCAGAGTGGGCTGGCAGTTGGGTTAGGTGATGTATAGCAAGGTTTGTGCTGACAGATGGGATAACAGAACCACGTGTCGAGAGACCAATGAGAGTAGATTTGGGGCGCAGAAGGGTATATAAGCATGTCTGCGCCCCCCATACGCAGGACAGGAACACTTTGTAAGGAAATTCTTACACTCAAACACTCCTCTCTCTCTCTCTCTCTATCCTAAGGTGTGCGCTAACTGATCGTCAGAGGGTTTTTCTGGCCACACACCGCCGGGTAACTCACCGCCGTTATGCTCGCAGGTGATCGGACAGAAACGGAGCTCGGAAGAAAGGAGTACGGGCTTGCCGGAGTATTTGCTCCCCGTACAAGACCCATAATCAAATATAACTATTATACAATAAAACCATCAACATGTCTGGCCAGATCATGAGCTAGCTTAATTACAGAATGATTAACCTTAGAAATAGCTAGAAATTGAAAAGATTTATTACAAGACATAATATCCGAATCACATTAATGATATAAACGTTGTGATAATTTCTTCTCGAGATATATATGGAGGAATGAAATCAGCACGAAATGAATCAGAGCTTTGATTCTCGTTAGAGCCTTCAAGACACCTTGCTTGGCTACACTTGTCAATACTACTCTCCAATTAATGCTTAACTTAGTGATTAGAGCAGAGAAAGAGAGGAAGAGCAAGAAGATAAGAGTAATGTCAGTAAAGTTCGTGACCATTGCTGACCATTCAACTCGGTTAAGTTCTCTCCACAAGCTCGAACAACTTGGTCTCACAGGCTCAACTCAATAGCCTAGTTTGGTCCAATGCACTTCAATATATTATTTCCCCACTTTTTACAAAATAAATAAATGAAAGTGCAAAATTAACATCACCATTATATTATCTCATTCTTTATGATGCTCACTTACAAGATAGTCATCATCGAAGCATACAATCCAGAAAGCTAAATTCAATTTCTAATTCAAAGATTTGATACATTATTAGTACTTTTTATTTTTTATTTTTTCTTTACTACGTTTTTTGGTGAAATGTTCCCACATTCCACAGAGTATAAACTTTGCTAGAGAAACTTTTTATATTAATATTTGTAATACATATCATACAAGACACAACTCTTAGACTTCATTCATAGTACTAGGAAAACAAACAACAAAAAAACAACTACTAATACAAAGAGGATAATATTACACATAAATACTCATTATGTCACAAGCCAATGTTTGAAACTAAGCATCGGACCAAGTTATATCCAAGCCACCCCAGTTATCTTGAGGAATACCCAAGGCTTTCCACACAGCTTTCGAAGCATCAACGATGTTGTTAGGACATGGGGGCTGATAATCATGGACTTCATCGCATCCCATAGTTGAGTCACACTCATCAACCACCATGGCCACCACACTTCGCCCATTAGCACTAATGGTGATGTTGTTGTGACACCGACTTCCTCCTTTGTACCATCCAGTCGATAATGCCACAACTGGCAAGTCATTGGAGTGATATTTACCATCACATTCACTTGGACCGCCACCATCTCCGCCTTTCTGAAAACTGTTAATAGTAAGTGTTGCCTTGGTTTGGCCAGAAACTGCTGGAGAACACTTGTACGTTTTATACATTTTGCCTTGGACACAGCAATCTGAGTGATTCTCCTGATTGCATTGGCCTGGAGGTGGTTTCTTTCCCATTATTTTACCACTTGGGCTACAACCTTGACCCTCAGCATCCAAACAAGCAGTAAACAAGAGACATACTAGTAGGACAGTAGATGTTTTTGAGAAAAAACTCTCCATTTTTCTCTATTCTTGTTCTTCTCTCTCTTCCTACTTGTTTTGAATTGAAGGGTTGATGGAAATCAAGTGTTTCAACAGGGTATAAATAGCAATTTTCTTAAAAATGTACCCACATTCTAATCTATATTTACAATAATACTAGCCATCTTTGCTGATGTAATTATATGGTTCCAAGCGGGCATTCCATTAATTTAGGAAAAAGTTTAGGGTTGAATTGCTTGTTGGATTTACTAAGAACAAGCCAAGGCACGTGAATGTCAATGATGGGATTTTGAACGGCTGTGATCAACTTAAAATATCTATCAACGTAGTTGACACGGCCAACTATTTTGCTTGATGTGTACGTTGAGACCATTTGAAGGCTAATAATTCGTAATTTATGTAACAACAAAAAAAGGGTCATAACAAACTCAGTCTCAGTTTCTAGTATTCAAGAATGTATAAAATATTGGGAGAGGACTCGCTACAACAAATTAAGATTTTGGTAAATTATATTGATATTTTCTGAAATTTGGATAAAATATACACTACAACAAATAAGCGTTTTAGAGATTAAATGTTTTGGTCTTTAAAAATGAAAATTTTGTTACAAAAGATATTTAGGGACCAATTTTTATCGTCATGAGGATAGTCGTTAAAAAGTCATCCCGAAAAGTCTAAAACAAGGCTTTTAGCAACAAAATTTTAAAAATGTCACTAATAAATAGACTTTTAGGGATAAAATAATTTGGTCTCAAAATATTATTTGTGGCACTATCAAGCGCCATTAAAAAAAGAGTTAGTGACACTTATAAGTGTCATTACACCATCAAGACTAAAACCTTTCAGTGCCACTTTAATGTCATGGTAGGCACTATTCGTGACGCTATCAAGTGCCATTCGTGACGATAATTCGTTGTAGAACAATTTGATCCGCTCGTGCAGAGACTCGAACCGCCAACCTCCCGCACCATAAACCTTATACACCACACTCTTCCCACTACACCTCTATAGCACCATATGATTATATTATTGTCGAGTGATGTTCCTAGATTAGACACTACAACATTTTTTTAGTTTAGTGACATTTGAAAGTGTCACAAAATTATTGATTTAATGGCATTTTTTAGTCTTGTGGCATTTTGAACAAGTGCCATTTATATCCATGTCACGGTAGATACTAGTGCCACGGTAGATACTTGCAAGTGTCATTACACCATCATGGCTAAAAACTTTCAATGACATTTTAATGTCATGGTAGATATTATTTGTGGCACTATCAAGCGCCATTAAAAAAACAGTTAGTGACACTTATAAGTTTTTTTGGTCAGGAAATTTAGTAGCCGAATATGCTTTTTCCTGTAGTGTATATTGAGTTTAATTTATTTATTTTTAATCATTTACTGCATTGTAAAAATTTTAAAAATATATTGGCATTTTTTATTTTTCAAAAATGCCATTATAAACTTGAAAAGTTTTTGAATTAGTGGCATTTCTCAAAATGCTATAAAATATTTGTTTATGAAACTTTTCACCTAAGTGCCATAAAAAGTAATTTGCACCTACCTAGTATCCTGACATTTTAAAAAAAATGCCATTGCTGCTAAAGTTTAGTGGCATCTGTTGGTAAATGTCACGAATATTATTTTTGTGGCATTTTCTAAAAATATGCCACTAGTATAGTGTCACTAAAGTGTGTTTTTGTTATAGTTTTGTGACACTTGTTCATTGAAATGTCACTAGAGCCTTTTATGTTTGTCGTTTTGTGGCATTTTTCAAAAACGTGCCACTAAATATCATTTTTGTGGCATTTTCTAAAAATATGCCACTAGTGTAGTGCCACTAAAATATGTTTTTATTGTAGTTTTGTGACACTTGTTCATTGAAATGTCACTAGAGCCTTTTATGTTTGTCGTTTTGTGGCATTTTTAAAAAACGTGCCACTAAATGTCATTTTTTGTGGCATTTTCTAAAAATATGCCACTAGTATAGTGCCACTAAAATATGTTTTTGTTGTAGTGCGTTTTAGAGATTAAATGTTTTGGTCTTTAAAAATGAAAATTTTGTTACAAAAGATATTTCGGGACCAATTTTTATCGTCATGAGAATATTCGTTAAAAAGTCATCCCGAAAAGTCTAAAACAAGGCTTTTAGCAACAAAATTTTAAAAATGTCACTAATAAATAGACTTTTAGGGATAAAATAATTTGGTCTCAAAATGGTTTATTTTTTGAGACAAAAAATTTGGTCCTAAAAAGATAATAATTCATCACTAATGTCTAATTTTTGTTGCTAAAAATATAATAACGGCACTTTTCACAACAAAAATATTTGGTTCCTAAAAAATAATTTTGTTCCTAAATTTTAGTCTCTAAAACCTTATTTTTCTGTAGTGATAAGTAGTCATACAATTTTAACATAATTATATTGATTTCCTTGTTAGCAAGGCAAACCGAAATTAATGCCAATAGTATGAAAACATAAGAAGAAGAAAAAAAAACCTTTGTGTAAAAAAGATGATAACGTCATTTTTTCATCATATGACTAACAAATTATTGATGAAAATGAGATCAAGTACTATGTGAATTACAATTTTAAGGAAATTGTTAGCAAAAATCTAGTTTAGGTGTGATATTGACAAACAACAAACAAACCAATTTTCACAAACAACAGGATCAAGCAATGTGGTTGAGTGTCTTAATGGCTTGACAGGTTCAAGTACTTCTTTGGAGGTTTATTTCTTGAAAAAACAAAGTAAATATAACTGGAAATTGACTAAAAACAACAAAACTTGTCACTTTAACCACAAGAATCAAATTCCAAGTCTTTTAGTATTACAATCGACAGAACTTTGAATAAACACTAACTGCTACTACTACTGTTACCCCTAATTACTGGTACTACTACTCCTAAACAGACTAGATCACTCCTAGACATCTCAAGTTGTGAATTGATTCCTTTTCCCCCCTGAATTTCCAGCTTTTATGCCACTGGTCATGTTGTCCATATGCTGCTACGTGTTCTACCATGAAGCAGGTTACTTCCACTTCCTAAATAACAACCCATGATCTTTACAATTTCCTGTAACTGCCTCCATTTGTCGTAGCCTTCTTTTCTCTTTAGTCCGTGTAAATACACCACTTGTCCTTCATCAACACGTCTTAAAAATCATGTCTCCACTCCTGGGCCACGTTTGGCCGTGTTCCATCACTTTTTCAGACATATCGACAGAAGAAACTATCTCTGCCATCAATGTATATGAAACTACTTTTTTAATTCCTTCAACCATGTCACTTGTTTTGCATATTGGAACCCACAACGTATCACCAATCTTGTGGCCCTTGCTCCTACCACATACTGGATCATCCCTCCATGCTTGGACATGCTTGTCGATAGAGGAAATAATTTTTAGTACAAACAGAAACCCAACGTAATTAAGCCAAAATTATGAGACTTGTCGTATTTTTTTTTTTTTTCAAATCTTATGGGAGGAGAATGTAGTTTAAATTCGTTTTATGTATAAATTTCACCATAAGAAAGTTAATCTATATGTTATTTTTCTGAATAAAATTCTAAACAAAAAATGCTTATATGGAGGAATTGTGTCTTTGCCTTTTGTTACCTTACGTTATTTACAAGGACCTTACAATTTTTCTAACATTTTGATAATATAATTAGCTTAATATGTCCAACTTAATCAATAGAATTATTAAAATGAGAATTTTCCACATGTCATAATAGTAAGGCTCACAAAAGTTTGTGTATGTGTTGTTCATATACTACTTGAATGACGTGTCAAATGGTTATTTGTTTATTTATTTTTAAAAGTCTCTAATTATTTTATATATATATTATTTTTTAAACTTTTTATTTAGTAACGTTTATGTTTGTAAAATTTATTCCAAGAGATCTATCAAATAAGACCTATATTCAATATAAAATTCTAAAAAAAAAAAATTAAGAAATTTCATCAATGAATTGCATTCTACACTCATATTTTGTCGGATCCATATCATTCCTTCTCGTATGATAGGATCCACCTATATGGCATAGGGCAAATCATGTAAGCTCACTTTGATGCAAGGTAGTGTGTTGAAATGAGAGCTGTTATTAGCACTTATTTAATTTCTTTAGACCCTCCATTTCTGTGAACCTCTATCCTAAACTCTAAATTTCAATAAGATTTCTTTGAGCACCCGCTTAATACCAATTTTACCCCTATTCATAATATCATCACACCCAAATCCACATCCATCTAATTTTGCGCACCCTCTTATGTTGAAGAAGGATAAATCGACTGTCTCTTTCTCCTTCTCTCAGTGAACGACAGTCCCTCTTCTCTTTCTCCTGTCAGTCTGAAATCTCTTAGTTGGAAATCTCTTCAAAAATCTCATTGGAAATCTTTTCGACGATCTCTTTCTCCTTCCTCAGGTAACCTCCAACTCCCCATCACATTTTATTTTTTTGATTTATTTCGGGCTAAACCCTCTATACAAGGGGTTTTAGAGGGAAGAATCATTAGCAAAACAAAACTAGGGGGAAAATCCTATAAAATGGAATCGTTCGGCATACTAGTGCCGAACAAAATGTTACTGTTTGGAACCCATCTATCGAACTAAATGTTTCTGTTCAACACAGTATTACCGAATAAAACCTTAACAGTCGGCAAAACAATAACGAACACGCTTTAACAAACAGCAACTATCGAAAACGGCCAAGAATCGTTAATGGAAGATAGATGAACTTACCAATGCAACACTAACCTAATTAGAGTTGTTGTCATTGTCCTCTATTGCTTTATAAGTATCAACGAATGGTGAACATGACCATAGATGTAAATGGAAATTTAGGCCTTGTTTGGCAAATACTAAAAAAGTCAAAAAGTCACTATCCTATTTAAGTCACATCATCTTATTTAAGTCACATCACTTCTCTACGACATCACTTCAAACCCAATCCATACCCAACCCATATTTCATAAAAAGTCAAAAAGTGCACTTACTTAAAACACCCCAAACCACCCCTTAATTGGAGAAACTCAGAGTCTGTAATAGGGTTGTTTGAAATGTTAATTGATTTGGATATAAAAATAGTGATTACTGCTTTGTTACAAAAATAGTGATGAAGAGGAATAAGTTTAGGGTTGATGGTCATGAAGAGGAATACGTTTAGGATTTAGGTTGGTGAGAAATACATTTAGGTGGAGGTGGGTTTACAATATTATAAAGTTTCATTCTAATTGTCTTTATTTGGTGAGTAGGTGTTCCATTAAAGGTTGTCATTTAATGTAATTTTACTTCAAAGTATAATTGTAATGAAAAAAAAAAGTAGGAATTGAGGGGTCTAAAGAAATTAAGTGCATGCTAATAGCAACCCTCGTTGAAATAGATGGATGAACAATATCTTTCCATGAGTTCAAATAAATAAATAAAAAATAACTTTTCTTTATTCATAATGATTTCCACACAAAGAAACACCAAGAACAAAAGAGTCAAAAGTCTTGTTGATTCCTTAAAACCCTAGGATTGAAAAAGTAGAAAACACTATGGAAAGAATCACCCCTTGCATTTTCCTTGAAAATAAAAGAAACAATGCAAAAGTTCATCACCATTAGTCGTTACCAAAAAATTATTTTATCAAGACTTTCATTTAAATTTTTTTTTTCCAAACTAAAGATTTCCAACTATCAACATTTCATAATTGAGAAATAGGAACAATTAAAACATCAAAACATTGAGCATATTGTAACATTTGAAACTAAAATCTGACCAAGTTATATCCAACTCGCCCCAATTAACTTTAGAGATTCCCAAGGCTTTCCACACAGCTTTCGAAGCATCAACAATGCTATTAGGACATGGACGTTGATAATCATGATCTTGATCACATCCTATAGTTGAGTCATACTTATCAACCACCATGGCCACCACACTTCACCCGTTAACACTAATAGTGATATTGTTTAAGCAATGACTGCCTCCTTTGTCCCATCCACTTGATGGTGCCACGATAGGCCAGTCATCAAAGTGGTACTTGCTGTCACATTCACTTGGACCACCACACTACAAGAAATTACACTTTTGACAATTAAAAATGCCAACTAAAAAAAATGTAGTTGCCATAGGTACTGCCATTAGCTACTAAAAAAATTTAGTCGGCAAAGGTATACACTTTAGCTACTGAAAAATATTTGGTTGGTATTTATTGTACTTTTGGCAACTAGTTACGTTTTGGTAGTTAAAAATAGGATTTTGGGCAACTAAAAAAATAATTTGGTCCCTGATTGTAAATCTTTTATTTCACTTTTTGCGACTAATTGTGTTTAGTCGTTGAAAATAGGATTTTGGGCAACTAAGAAATAATTTGGTCCTTGATTATAAACTTTTATTTCAATTTTGGCGACTAATTGTGTTTAGTTGTTGAAAATGGGATTTTGGGTGACTAAAAAATAATTTGGTCCCTAAATGGATAATTTTTAGCTACAAAAAATAGTTTAGTTGATATTTATTTCACTTTTAGCGACTAAAATTTAGTAGTCAATTGTAATTTACAAGTTTTGGGGGGAAGAGTACCATTTTTGAAAGGATTGATAAATTAATTAGTGACAAAAGTGTATTTAATCGCCAAAGGTACATGCATTAGCTACCAAAAAAAATTTAGTTGCCAAATGTATACACTTATAACTACTAAAAAAATATTTGGTTGGCAAACGTACATTCTTTAACTACTAAAAATAACTTAGTCAGTATTTATTGTACTTTTGGCGACTAATTATGTTTTAGTAACTAAGAATAGGATTTTGGGTGACTAAAAAAATAATTTGGCCCCTAATTATACAATCTCTAGCTATTAAAAAATAATTTTATCAGTATTTATATAACGATCCCGGGTTTACCCTTGTTGTACAGTGATCCGGACATGTGTCCGTGAATGTTAGTAGTTGATTATTATTTTGTTTACATCCTTTTTACTTCGTATTTGAGTTATAGGATGTGTTGGGCAGGTTTGTTACAGGTTGGTTGAGTTTAGAAACCAAAACTAGTTGTCCAGATTTTGACCTGTCCGCTCGAGCGGGGGTTTTGGCGCTCGAGCGGGAGTTTCACCCATCCAGTATTTCCTGTGCAGTGTTGGACGCTCGAGCATAGAACTGGCCGCTCGAGCGGGATTGTGTGAGTGCCGCTCGAGCGGGGAGTTGGAAGCTCGAGCGGAGACCTGGTTCTGCAAAAGTTCTGGGAGTGTGTATCCGCCGCTCGAGCGGGATTGTTAGCGCTCGAGCGGGAGTCTGTGAGTGACGCTCGAGCGGGGTGTTTGACGCTTGAGCGGGGCGACTGGGCTTAAGTTCCGAGTTTTGACTTTTCAAATCACTTTTTCACTTTCTCTTCTCTCTCTTACTTTTCCAAAAACACCATTGTTGAGCCTCTCACTCTAGAACTCTACCTTCTCTCTAGGTTTTGATCTAGTAGGAGTGATTTGCTCATCTTTGGCCTTTACAAAAAAGTTGTTGATCGTCGAGGGTTACATTTTAATCTGAAAATTTCGGGATTTGGAGCACGTTGGGTTTTGTCATCTTCTCCCTTGGGGCTCCGGATTTGAGGTAGGGATATCCTACTCTTCTCTATGGATTTTGTCTTTAAATTTTAGTATTTTGAGATGTTGGGGTTGGTTTGGTAATTTTGTGAAAGTTTGGGGCTTTGTGTTATTTTACAAAAGTTGGGGTTTTATTTATAATAAACCTAGATGCATGTTTGGCATAGAGAAATGGAATAAATGTTGAATCATTGATGAAAATGGGACCTAAGGGTTGTAATGTTAATTATGAAAAATGACCTAATTACATTGTTTGATTAATTGGGATAATTAATTGTGAGAAATGGGGAAATGAAATGGAATTGTTGAGGTTGGGAATGCATGGGGTTAAAGGGTGTAGTTGAATTATTTATCACTCACCAAATTGAAATGTTGATTGAATATCCATTTGTTGCATTTATTTTCTGTATAGAAATAACTGTTTTGGGCTATCGGTGGAGGATAGTCCTGATTGTTGTAGACAATGCATGATGATTAGGCAAATTGAAACTAATCACTGGAATGTGTCATTGAGATTGACGATTGAAAGAATACATTAAATTTATGTATTGTGTGATGATGTGTATAATTATTGTTTATATGCATTGTGTTGTGTTGGAGGAGATAGAGGATGTACTCCACGGTTTAGGGGGAGATAGGGAATGGACCTCTAAACCGGATGTGTTGGGAGGAGATAGGGGATGGACTCCATAGATAGAGCTCATATGCTTATCTATTAATGTGCTGACAGAGCTCATATGCTTGTCATTTGAAGTGTGATAGTGCCCATATGCATATCTATGGAACTGATGATATAACTTGTATGCTTATCTGTTATTGTGTGATATAGCTAGTATGCTTATCTATTACAAAGTGGGAAGTGTTTGATATGAGTTACTGTCTCATATGAGTTGTTTGGCCAGGTTCTGAGCCATGGTTGTAAATTGAGAATTGAAAGGAATTGGAAAAATGGAATGTAATGTGGACTTGTATGTCATGAAACTGTAAAGTGTGATAAGAGGAAATACCTGTGTTGGCCATCTATCAATTGCTAATCTTTTAGTCATTGTTCATATTTGGTTTAGTGTATTTCTACTGGGCTGGCTCACCCTATGTGGGAATATCATTTTCAGGTACAGGTAGCATGCCACCTCCAAGGACATAGCTTGGGAGGCTAGAGGTGGACACACTTTTGTCATTTCATTTTGATGTATTACATGTAAATTCAAGCCAAGGGCTTAATGTGTAAATGAGTTAGTACTCTTTTGTTGTAACCAAGTGTTAACTTGGAAATCTGTAAGCCTTTAGGGCATTCGCTTTTGTCGTTAACATGTAATACTTTTTGTAACGAAACTCTGATGAATAGAAGAATGTCTATCTTTATTACCAATGCATGTCTTTATTGATGGGTCTTATGTTATTTTTTTGAGGGCGTTACAATTTATTTCACTTTTGTTGACTAATTGTGTTTAGTCGTTGAAAATAGGGTTTTGGGCGACTGGAAAATAATTTGGTCTCTATATGTACAATCTTTAGCTACAAAAACAATTTAGTCGGCAAATGTAATTAAAGGATTGGAGGGAGGACTTAGAAGTTGGGAGGAATTTCTAAATTAACTTTATTTTTAATCTTTGACAACCATTTAATTTGATACTAAAAAGTATTTAATCAGTAATAAAATTCAAAAAAAAAAATTGTGAGAAGAAAAATTATTGCTTCCCAATTTAAATTTTATGTTTAATTTTAGGTAAATTATCAACGCATTCTCGAGGTTTGACTAAAACATAGATTTTTCCTGAGATTTGAGAAATTACATCTCGTTCCCTGAGGTTTATATTTTTATAACAAATTACTCCCTGAGGTTTATATTTGCATAACAAATTGCCCTCTAATTTGTTATGCAAATATAACTTTCAAAGGAAATTTGTAATTTCTCAAATCTCAGAGGAATCTGTATTTTAGTTAAATCTCGAGGGGTATTGGTAATTTGCCCTTAATTTTATTTTATATATATATATTATTTCTATATATCTCAGCTCAGATACGTACACCAAATACCAATCAAAGAAAAAAACAGAGAGTCGGTTGCTCTCCCTCGCTCTCTCACCGTCCCTCACTCACCGTCACTAGCCGTCTTATCGCCACTATCGCTCACCGTCTCGTCGCCTCCATCGACAGGTTTCTCTCTCTCTCTCTCTCTCTCTCTCTCTCTATTTCACATTTCACTCTACATTTCACTCTAGCTTTAGGGGTTTTTTTTTTTTTTTTTTGATGCTGTAGGATTTTGATTTCTGTGAAATGAGTAAATGGGTTTTGGTTTTTGTTCCAGATTTAGGGTTTTTTGAACTGATTTTTGGTGTGAGAGATGAGGGATTTTTGTTTTTTGCTACTTATATATATATATACGTATTTGTCTGTAAATTGTATTTTCGTGTTTGCTTAGTGTTCGTTCTTCTCAATTGATGAATTCATACATATTCCCATTCTGTATACAAGCAATCTGCATCATCGTATATTGCATCATTTCTGTGGCTATCATATAAAGCATTGTTCTATTTTATTTAGTTATTCTAACAAATAGCTTTCATAGAAATCTGGAGAGAATCACTCGAATCGAAAGGGTGTCAAATTACTAAAACTAAACCCAATATGTGGAATGCAACTTTAGTAACAATAGAAATAGAGTTAATTGAGATGTGAATATTGAAAACCATAATAGGAAAAAATTGACGCAAGTGCTGAATTATTAAATTACATTTAAATAATAGTTTATCGACACAAAACTGATGCAAGTGTTATCAAAATAACACAAAACGCATATTTTAGAGACAAAAAATGTAATTATCCCCATCAATTAGCGAGGCTCATATCTTTCCATGCATCTTGGGACAAAAATGAACTCTTGACATGTGTATTCTTGGGTTATGACTTATAGATAATTAGGATAACATTGTGCTATCATAGCTCTGTTCATTGGTTACATACTTGGTTGTTATGTAAATGATTCAGCTGTACTGAAGTCTCATATTACCATTCAAAGGATTATGAATGAGGATGACATTATCCTTGAATGGATAAAATTATAAACAATTTACTTGAGTGAGTGGTGATGCCATGATAATCTAGGCATTTGATGCTTGATTATCTAATGGTTCAGCTGTACTAGAGTTTCATATTACCATTCTAAGTGAAATGATAGTATCTGACACTCTAGTTGCTTATGACAATGACATAATCCTTGAACTGATAAGATTACAAACAATGTAATGGCACCAGTGATGATGCCATGATAATCTAGGCATTGGTGCTTGATTATCTAACGATTATTGTTTATTATGACACCTTTTGTATCACCCTGAAAGTCTTACCTATTCAAAATGCAGGAACTTGAAAGATCTTTGCCTTGAAGGAACATTGGCACCTGAGCTGGGCAAGCTGACTTACATAAAATTGATGTAAGAATATAACCCAACTCATGGACCCAAATATTTCATTATTCTTTTGTGATTATAAATTTCATGTTACTTCATTGTAGTACTTTACACAACAACTCTTTTAGGGGAAACTTTTCTGTGGAGATTGGAGAATTAAAGGAGCTGGAGGTGTTGGATTTAGGATACAACAACAGTGGGCCATTTCCATCTAATTTTGGCAATAATATGTCCTTGTCAATTCTGTGAGCCGATCAAGTTTTGAGATCTTACATGAACTATGCTTCCTAAACTCGTGTTAGCTCAATTTTCTGGATATCATCACAGTTTACTGGACAACAACTACTTTAACATATCTCCAGAACTTTATGAACTTCAGATGCTTTTTGAATTTCAAGTAGATGAGAACCAGCTCACTAGTGCTGCTTTAAAGGCTAGTTGCAACAGCAGATCTAGTTCTTGGTAAGTATGTTAAAATATGAAGCTCTTTATGTAGTTTAATAAATATTTTACCTTCCATGCCCCCAACTGCTGCTTGCAGGGTTGTTTTTCGTTTTATTTATTTTCTTGGAGCTACTAAAAGCATAAAGGGTAAATGATTATAGAATAAAATTTTAAGGTAGTTACCTAGTTATTCCTTTTGCATGCTAGATCATCCCTGTTGCATATCTGTAAGCTGCATGGACGTGTGTCAAATGTGAAAATGTTTCTATTCTTCCATGTTTTCTGGAACAGAGAAATAAATAATTTGTAGTCAATCTTTGTTTTGTTGATTTGGCAACCAGTACTCTACGGCTCATTTTCTGGTTTAGTTTATGTTTCATTCTGAATACAGCTTTAGCTAGAAAGCTGAGTTAATAATCTCAGGTTTGTCTTTTTATTTTTATTTTTTAATGTTCTTTTCTGATGCCCAGCAGTAAAAGAATCCGAGCACTTGGGTTGGGGAATGCGACTGCAAATAGCTATGGGCATGGCATCTTGCCTTGAGCATATGCACCAGCTCAGCCCACCTATAGCCCACGGAAACTTGCAATCTTTTTCTATATATCTTACTGAAGACTACGCGGCCAAATTATCAAATTTTAGTTTCTGGAATGATTTAACAGCAACTAACATGGGTTCAGCTGCCACAGAGCTTTCGGCGTGTTACAGATTACTTTTTTGACATGGTACATATTACGTTTTGCCGTGGTACAAATTAGTTTTTGGTATGGTACAGATTAACTTTTGGCATGATATTGTGAATATTAATTTTTTGTATACAGAGGGCATGGTTTTTGTTTAATCCTTTGTTATGTATGGTTGGATTATATTTAATTTGTATGGAATTTCTATAACATTTGGAATTTGATGTTAAATATGAATTTTTTGAATGGTTGAAAGTGAAATGTGTGCACATTGTGGAATGGTTGATAATATAATCAACATATGGATTATTTTGTTTGTATACAGGATACAGGTTGCACTAATAATGGAAGAAATATAGGTGGTTGAGAAGTTAATTTTTTTTTTTTTTTAAAAAAAAAGATTATAAAATTTTTGACGACTAAATATTTGGTAACCAAAAAATGCAAGCAAAGGGTTTTGAAAAAAAAAAAAAAAAAAAAAAAAAAAAAAAAAAAAAAAACAAGTGACTTTAGGCAACCAAATAGTTAAGTAGCTAGCCAAAACAAATATAGATGAGGAAACAAATTATTGCTGACTAAATATTTTAGTCATGAAAAAACATGACATCTTTTGGCAACTAAAATTTTTTGTCGCAAAATATAATGAAATGAAAATATCTAGTCTTTTGGCAACTAAAATGTTTAGTGAAAAATAACAGTGACCAAACTATTTGGTAGCTAATGGTGACAAAAAATAGCAACTAAAATGTGGAGTCACTAAATGTATTATTATTAGTGACTAAAACATTTTAGAGACTAAATATTTTAGTCACTAAAAGAGAATTTTATTTTAATTTGATTACTTTTGGCGACTAAATTTTTCGTCGCCAAAAAGTGGTCATTGGTGACCAACTTTATTTTAGTAGCCGAAGATAAGATAATCAGCGACCAATGTAAATTTAGTCGCCATTGACTATCACCGACAAGGCTTTGGCGACTAAGTGGGCAACGAAAAACTTTAGTCACCATTGACTTTCGGTGACTAAAAATTTGGTAGCTGAAAGTGTAATTTTTTGTAGTGGTAGCTATTGTTTTTTTGTGATAATTTTCACCCCACATAACTTTTTTTTTTTGAACAAGCAAAAGAAATTTTATTGACAACAATCAAAAGATATACATCAATAAAGGAGGGAGGGTGCAAAAGTATCACAACTAACTCTATACTCCGAACTAGCTAGGTTGGCATCATAGAGCTAGCAAAATCATCTGCTAGGACATCTCAAGGTTGGTGAGCAACCAACAAGACAACACAGACATAACAAGAGCCAACACCCACAATTCACACCCAAAGAAATTCAATCTAGACAGCCACCCCACAGAACTACCTAATCAGTGTATTAATCAACTTGGCTAGTTCAGTCCGCTCTTCTTCTTTTTTTTTTAAAGGCTAGTTGTTTTGGCATGATAATTTAGTATCCGGCTCACTAGATTGACTAATTCGGAGGACTAATCACACCGTCTACTAATGTAGGGGATCAATCTCACCTTCAGTCTGCCCTTGTACACTTCTATTTAAAAGGTTAGAAGGTCAATCTTTACGTTAAATGTAAGGATTGAGAATTCATCTCTTATTATTTGGCATTTTTTGTATTGTTTAATTCTTCCTCATTATGAGACTTTTTCTTAGATTGATTGTTAGGCAAATTGTTTTTTCCCCATTATGGTGATCTTTGTTATGTTGGTTGGACTATGATTGTCGAATATAATTCTTTTCATATTGTAAATATTTTTTTATAATTGATACCCCCCAAAAAAATTACCTAGTGTCTAGGAGAAATCTATGGTATGCTTCCCTAAAAGAGAGCTCAACATACCATAAGAACGTTATCATTTTTGTGGTAAAAATTATAAATGTTGTGTGTATTAGGTTAATTTGTAATAAAAGTTATGAATGGTGAATTTATATTGTGAACTCCTAGAGTAAAAATTACGAACTATTGTGGTTATATTATGAATGATATAGTGAAAATATTACGAAACATTTATGATGAGAAATGCTACGAATTATTTTGGTGAAAAAAGTTATGACTTGTAGTATTTGATATGGAACGTTATAATTATATTACGTACATTGTGATATTTGGTAAAAGTGCAGATTGTAACTTCGCCCGAGTGTATTACCAACACAATATTTTATACAAATGGTATAATTTTTTTTGGGTAAATTGCAATCACCTCCCCTAAAATTTAGAGAAAATATAATTAACCTCATACTTTTGACATATAATTACATTGGTCTCCCATGAAGTTTTAATTCACATAATAATTAGATCTTTTTTTATCAGTAATTTGTTATACCATCTCCAACTCAGATTCAAATCTTTCGTCAAATTTAAATTTCATGAAAATTTGGTGAAAACGATGTTTCAACTGTTTCACCAAATTGGTATTAAATGAAGGGAGCCCTATTTTTTTTTTTTTAATCAAATCAAGCGTTTAACCTTTCATCAAATCTCACAGGTGACCATTGGTGGACGTACCGGATGGATGACTGGCTGGACAACCGGGTGGACGAGCGGATTGGGGAAAATTTGAAGAAAATTTACACTAAGCTGGTTGACCGTCCAGACATCCTCCCGGTTGTTTGATGAAGCTTTTAGTCCAAATCTTTATTCAAATTTGATGAAAAAAAGAGTAACCGCTAGAGATGTTCTATTTTCAACTAAATTGTATATTATCTTTGTTTATTTAATATCTACCCATCATATGCATTAGTTGTAGTCGTTTTAACCATACTTAGTGGGAGAGTAGTCTAATTATGTGAAAAAAATGTAGAGCTAACTGTATTTTTCTCAAACTTTAGGAGCGGTGAGTGCAATTTATCCTTTTTTTAAAATTAAATTAAAAAAAAAAAAACTAACATATAGGCTCCATTTGATTAGAAATAAATAATTGATGAAAATTTAAATAGTAGAAAATAAAGTGAAAGAAAAGAAACGAAAAGGAGAAGCTAGTATGAATTTAATTAGGATAAAATTTTACAAGAAAATAGAAATTTTAATTATAAGTCACTAACAAATTTAAACTTTTTTGTGTTTTTCTGTATTTTTGCAAGAAATTAGAAGCTTGCAGTGCTGTTCGCCACGAGTGTCTGATCCTACAAAGGCAGTGTTGACACTGAAAAACTTTCAAAAGGGTGGAGATGGTGGCGGGCCATCTGAATGCGATAACAATTACCATTTGGACGACACACTAGTGGTGGCACTGTCAACTGGGTGGTTCAATAACAAAAAGAGGTGCTTGAACAAAATTACCATTTTTGGTAATGGACTAAGTGGAAAGGCAAAGGTAATTGACGAGCGTGTGACTCCACTATGGGTAATACAGCAAAGGCTTTAGCTTATCTCCATTAGCAGTAGTCTATTGTTTGTCTTGCTCCAGTGCCGTGTGGAAGGCTTTGGGAGTTCCAAAACACGACTGGGGAAATTTGAATATATATTGGTCCGATGCTTGATTTCAGTTTTTAAAATTCAATTTTTGGAAAATTTTACGTTGTTATTTTCTGTTTTTTTTTTCATTAATTTTTTTAAATATTTTAAGTAATTTTTTTAATTTTTAGACACACCTAACATAAATATACTCAAAAATTATAATATTTGTGATTTTTTTTAAAAAAAAAAAATCACTAAATACTAAAAATATATGAAAATTCAGTACATTTTTCTTATTTTTGTGTATTTATTAATTTTTTAAAATATTTTTTTATAAATATTTTATTATTTAGATACATCTAAATAAAGTGCATCTAAAAAAATAAAAAAATTGTTTAAAATTTTAAAAATATTCACTAAAAATAAAAATATATAAAAAATAAAAAAACTTAATTTTCAAAAAACTAATACCAAACACACTGATAATGGTTGTTTTTCTATTAGCAAGAGATATATGTTCACTTTCCGTAGCTTATGCTTATGTTATGTACTTTCCGTTTGTATGGGTTTCTTTGTTGTCAAATCTTCACCCTTTGTGAAATATTTGATGAGAGATCTTTTGTTAGTTATGGAGGACATTTTATTTTTAATTTTATTTCTTAATTTATTTATTGACTTTTTTTACCTGTTGACTTTCATTGACTATCTATTCAAATTTTTTCCTATCTGTTTAAATTTTTTCCTATCTCTTCAAAATTTTTCCTATCTGTTTAAATTTTTTCCTATCTGTTCAAATTTTTCCTATTTGTTCAAAAAATTTTCCCTTACTTGTCCAAATTTTATTATCTGTGCAATTTTTTCACTTATCTGTTTAATTCTTTATATGTTTAATTTTTTTTATCTGTTCAAATTTTTAACATATTTTATTATCTGTTCAAATCTTTCTTCTCCCTTTCATCCTTATCTGTTCAACACAAAAATAAAACAAAAACAAAAAAATTATATGTTTGATTTTGATCGTCATAGTCATAATCACCACCATCACCACCACCACGACCACCACTACCACCCTTTATCTATTCGAATGTGTGTCTAAATTTTGTTAACTGTCCAAATTTTTTCTGTCTAATTTTTTTATCTGTAAATTTTTTTTTATCTATTCAAAAAAATTTTTTCTATTGAAGTAGATCTGAATAGATCTAATCTTTTATTTTATCTGTTAAAAGTCAACAACTATTCAACAGATCTATTTAATGGATCTATTTAAATCCACTATTTAAAAGAAGAATCAAGTGGTGTTTATGTTCCACAACCATTTTAGTGCTAAAAGAGATTGTTCCTCAACATTTTGCACTTTTCTCGGCAGCTAAACAGAGGAGACGAAGCAAATATGTGTGGATCTGGAAGTGAAATGTGATTTTGCAAAATGTTTTTGGTGCATTAATTGAAGTTGTTATGATAGAAACATAGCTGTGATGTTTTTGCATGTAACAAACAAAGTTCTCACACTATTTGGTTGAATATGTAGTAAATTTCCAACCTATCTATACTAATGGAATTCTCAACCTATGTACAAAAATCTTCAAGAAATACACCTACAACAAGCAGGAGATGTGTAAAATAGAGGTTGAACAAAAACAAAGAGCTGATCAATCAGACTCATCATCATCAAGTGATATATACATACAACAAGAAGCTAGCTCTAAAAAAAAAAATAGCATCTAAGAGAGAGAGAGATAGAGATCCTCTGGTCTAATCTCTCTGGCTACTGATGGCTCAGTTAGTATAACGGTGTC